TCGCGGGTTTTTGGAGGAAATTTTTACCATCTTGGGCGCGGCTTATTTGAAATGAATATACTTATTTCATATGCATGCTAAAGAAAGTTTATAATATTTTTATAATTTGAGGTTATTCAACAAATTTGAACGAATTTCGGCGCATGTGTGTTACAAATATCTATGAATAATCAATTTATTTTATCTTTTATGTTGTAAGCATAAAATATACATGTAACGTCTTTAAAATACGTCAACAAAATCACATCTTAAATGAAAATATGGAAAATGAAATATATGGAAGAATGGTTTACTATTACTATTACTTATATCGTTATAGTTAGTTTAGTGTACTTACTTTAAAACTATTAGTTACAGTTTGCTCCCAATGAAACAATGTATAACCAGCATATGAAAACATTAATTTTTCTCGTAATCAAGTAGTCGAAGTTATGTTTTTTCTGCCGAAGTACATCATTGAATTTTTGCAGATACTCTTTTGCAATGTTCAACTTTTCCAGCAATCGAATAAGAGTGCGACAAGTGAGCATTGTGGCAGTTGTCAACTCGATGTTGTGACAGACGGGTTCAAATTGTACAATCCTCATCAATTACTGTACACGATATTCACAATACTGTTAATTAAACTGTTTCAGGAAAATTCACCTATGCCTTACTAAGACACTAAATACGCCACGAAGTACTGAAAAGATTGGTTTAGTCATCGAGAAATATTCAAAGCATTAAGAAGTTACAATTTCTGATACCAACCCAACACATGAAAAGTAATATACAAGTGATTCACATCACCCATCAGTATTCTATAAGTAGATCATATGGAGTCATGGAATTCAATGTGAAAAACGTTTTTAGTTATGTGTGAGCTGCAGATTACATCAAATAAAAGTAGCAAATTGTGCCTAATTTACCTGCAAGGATCAAATAGCAAAACGCACAGGGTGGTATATTTTTTGTGACTTTATATGTTCTTAAAAATATAAGGATGAATTCACAGATATTAAAATATTATGAAAACTCTCGAGAAATATCTTCAATGATGTTCATGCGGTGTTCGTTATATAACACCACGATTAACAACTGAATTAGAGCTTCTCTGATACCTTCTAGAAAAATCTCGAGGTAAACCTCCAAGATGAAGAGATGAGGAACGACAGAAGGGCGAGAAACGAGGCCATCCTAAATGAGAAGACTAAGCAGCAAATCAAGAAGTCGACGAGAACAAGGGATAATGAACACCAGGCAAGTTCTAATGATATCAAGCAATAAGATACGAACTGATTCTCGAGGGCGGACGCGTAAATTAGACGCTACACAGCGCGTTTATCACCTAATAACGCTGTGCCAGCGCCCCACCCCGTCCCTTCGCGAGCCCGCCGCCGCGCCGGCCGCGAGGTGGGCGGGGCTTTGAGGCGACGGCGGGCGGCCGCGGAAGGGCGTGTCGAGTTGCCGGGCCGCGCCCGAGGCGCTCTAGAGCAGTCCGCCGCTAATATCCCGGAACGTGAGAGGGTGGTCGGCCCCGCTCGCCGCGACGTGGCCCGGCGCCGGGAGGGAAGGCGAGGGGCGGGGTGGAGCGCGGCGCGGCGGGTGAAATAGGGTGGGGCGTCGTGAGAAAACAGATGCGCTGCCGACAGAGGGAACGCCCACGTTCGGCGCTGTGTAAATTGATTGATTGATTAGTGATTAAGGGCGCGTCAACTGCTAAGGTCATAAGTCACTTAAGGGTAGTGCATGTATAACCCGGGAGGTGGCGGTGATCATCCCCATCTTGATGGTGAAATCTGTTGTCGACCTACCGTCGGCTAGCGAGGTTATCCTCAATTTGGCATCTCCAAATTGCAAGGCACCACCCCAGTCAGGACAAGCTGTAACTCTACCGATATGTTTGCTAGTATTGTGCATGTTTGTGTGTAAGTAGGAGTGTAGATAAGAAAAGGAATAGGAAGGAATAGATGTCCGTGGTCCCTTTGTTAGTGTACTGCTCCGGCATTCGCCTGGTGTAGATCAGAGAAACCATGGAAAACTAACGCTAGAGCAGCCGACCGCTAGAATTCTCCTCCAAACGAAACGAATTCGACCCAGCTATGTACGTAGTGTAGAAAATCCTGTCATCATCGTTGGAACTCGAACCTAGGACTTCCCAGTCAGAGGCACTGCAGTGGCATTAATTGATGTACTGAGCCACGTTTCCCAGTGGAACGGGATGGGACGGGTGGGCCGTGGAGGGAAGAGGCGTGGCGTGGCGTGGTAGGGAGTGACGGAGCGGGGCGGTGTAGAGGGCGGCGTGGCGAGAAAGACAGGGTGGGGTGGCGTGATTAAACAGGCGCGCTGGCGACAACCCACGTGCGCCGGCGTCTAAATCGAGACGACGACAACGGTTACCGCGAGGGCGCGTGCGGGGGTCGAAACCCGGGAGCCTAAGTGCGCGCCCAGAGCAGTGGCAGAGGGCGAGCGGGAAGCTGAGAGGTCAAGAGGCGAGGGGTGAGATTGGGGATAACGTGTGGGAGATCCAAGTGGGCGGTGAGGGTTTGCGGAACAGGGGTGCGCGGGACTGAGGGTGGCCTACGAACCGGTTTTTTTGAATGACGACGCATGAGATGTGAGAGATGTCAACAACGTGGGTGATCAGGCAGTTTGCGCGGACGGGGGTGGGAGGCGACAGAACAACGTGGAGCATAAGGGGCAGTGAGGATGCTAATAGCAATGTAAGTGGTCTGGCCTGATGGGTATATGGACGGAGTAGCAGTCGCATCGATGATATTTGTTAGTAGTATCGTCGTGAGATATGCAATGAATGGTGAATGAGCGCTTTACATGATCTATGCAGTCAGCCATTGATTTGGTAAGGTCATGGTAAATTCCTAAAGTCAAAAAACAAGCCTACGAATTATGCGTGAAAAGTCAAAATGTAGGAGATGTATATTTATTTGTCATGGGATCATAACTGAAATAATTCCCAAATGCGTTCATTCGAGCGGCAAAATATTCAATCCAGTAACAGGATTAAACGGTTGAGTGTTCTTCACATTTATGTTCATTTAGCCAAAAAACAGATAAAATGTTCAACTTCACAAAGACAATATTGCAGAAGCAATTATTTTTACATGTTTTTATGGTGGCTGACAGGTATTTTCGTCATAGTTTGCTGTTCATGCAGATTTTGCTGGGATTAGAGTAACAAAAAATAGCGTGTTGGAAAAATGGAAAAATGATTTGACGATGATCGATGATGCGTTAATTGCAATTTTAAAGGTATTTTGTACTCCTGAAATTTTAATGCAATTTTGTAATGTGGTGACAATAATCTAGTTGCATCATAATAACATGTTGCATTGCCCACAATTTTTCCTGGATAAGAACATAGTTAATCTTGATTCCGGGCATGTGCCTGCCGGCGGACGTCCCATCCCTGCCTTTCAGTATCTCATTTTAATTTAGTTTATGTATTACGAAAGATGGAAAAGTAGGGAACAAAGAAGGCACCAAAATATTCAAAACTTACATGGGTTGGCTTATTCTTGTGATAAAGTGTACAATATCTTGGGGTTGTTCAACTGTTTGTTGTACAGTGATATCTAGAGAGAACCGCAGCGCTACAATTCTGACCTGCGGCCAAATGATATTCAACTACACCACCGTAGCATCAACGTCTCGGAGAATTTTAGCGACCTGCACCTGAAATATATAAATTAAGACGATAACGGATTCGACGTATTCACGTAAAATGTATGAAAGTTAAATCACTTGAAAAATACACATCGATTAAAATTAGTTATTATTCGCGTAGTGCATCATACAAAGGATGTCGAACAATTATTATTACTTTCTTTCCAGATTGTTTAAACCTAATCGTAAAAAAAATAGTTTTAACAATCTTCATTTCGTTATTTCTGCGTTTATATTGAAAGAAAGGGGAAATAGATTATTATATTAATACGATTCCTAAGAACCTCATCTTTTATGTTTAATGACCTTTAATAAAAGAAAAAATTATTATTGGATTAAAAGCGGGTAGGGAAGTTGTAGGTTGGTCTTAAAAAGTGTTAATATTCACGATTTAGGTTATTTATTATTTTGTGACAAAAAAATTGTTGCAAATTCCGCTAAAAGACATTTTTCAACTCCACGAACGTCCTCAAATGCCAGTGCTAATCGTTAGTGAACCCGCAAATCTTCACGTAGGATTCATACCACGCGACTTTCGGTCTGAATCTGTTTGGGGATCTTCAGAGGCCATTCCCATATTTCTAGGTTCTCTGCATCCACACCCACATGCCCATTCTCGCACCGTTTTCATAGCATCAGCGGATGTGGACAGGCTGGTTCCGGGAAGGGCGCATTAGCTTTCAGTGTTCTAGGAACACGGACCCCCTTCTCACGGCCATTGCGCTAATTCCCTAATCTGCACAGTTAGCAGCAAATACTCTAAGTACATTGTGTACATCGATTGTACACCATCCTGACTTCCAATAAAAGATGTTGCGTTTCAGTCTGAAGAAATGATAAAATAAAAACGTAGATTCTAATTATTTCCTCCTTACCTGCGTTCTGACATTTCGTTCAAGTGTTTGAATGAAGTTAAAAATAAAGTGTAAATTCAAGGTCAGGCAGATTCTGTATATTTGGCGGCGATACACATGTCTGTTCACGAGAAAAAAATGAAGTATATATGTTTTGAGGGCATGGAGTGATACTTTTCTCTCAACTTAAAAACAACATAAATGCACAAATAGTAGCAAAGCAAGAATATTACTTGAAGACAAGTTCGTGAATGCTCTTCGCGAAAACATAACATTCACGAGCGTGGGGTTTATGAGCCTGATTCGCGCGACTCAACATTTGAATGTGTCGGAACCGTCACCTGATTTATTGTTTCTATAATGAAGCAGGTAGCTTGAACTGGATTTACAATCCTATATGAACCACTTTGCACACTTTTGGTATGTAACATGCTATGAATAATGGTTGGAATTAAAGTTAAATACCATGCCGCATCAACTTACCTAATAGAGAAATCACAAGTCCTCCATCACTTTCTTCTCAGCCGTTGACCTGCAAATAAAGAGTTGGGTTAAATGCAATTCAAAGTTCCAAACTACCCTTCAAAAATGCACATTTCTCTAATAAAAAATAATGTACAACCGAATAAATATAAAATTGTCTCTTTCGGCGAATTCGAACGAAAGCTTCCCAAGTAGTAATTATTCACTAAAAGCGTAAATCCAGTACAGAGAAAATATTCCACGTTCATCAATCGAAACTTTGTCACTCTTCAGATACGGCAATCACAACGGCACACATTAATACAAACTGCAAAGAGAGATAAAATACGAGTTCGATGCAGGAAAAACTACCAACACACTAGTTTGTTTTTTTCATCGTCTAAACCCCAAAATAATATTGCCCTTAAATACTCAAGACTATTCGATTCTTTTATTTCAAAATCCAGAGAATGTACCGCATTTTATTGTATATTAACTCACGTAGTACATTTTGTAAGAGCAGGGTTAGGGATAATTTCTCGCAAAAAGGAAATTCCTTATTACGACGGTTTTCATTTTAACTTTCCCAAGAAAACTCGCGCCAGAAAGAACGGCCGCAAAGTACGAAACAACACTGGCCGTGTGAACAACGGCCTATGAAACAACACTCTTCGGCACCGGAGCA